TTACGGCCACGGTGCATATGGCGCTCACAGTACTTCTGCCCGGCGACCACGTCTCTTGAGCAACGCCATTTTTTGCCGTCGGTTCTCCGGCACCGACCTGGCTCTGGATCCATGGCGGCTCTGCCCCAATACCCTGCTTGTAATACTGAATATCCAAAGTCATTTTAAACAAAACCCTCATTTCAGTGATAACCAAAAATTAAAAACCAAGAAAGAAATGGAGAAGAGATCAATTGACTTAGATTAAAAACATATTTGAAAAGATTAACTCCAAAAACATGTTCTGAATTATTTCAAAATCTAATTCCAAACATGCCACAAGAGGCGAGCTTTTTCTCAAATGGGTCGCTCTGTATTTGCAAGAACATTTAAAGAACATGTATATAAAGTAAAAATTTGATGAGTTTTCTTACGAAAAAATCTGATTCCAGCCACAAAAAAGAAAAGGGAAAATGGGCGAAATGGGACTTACAAGAAGTGGGATAGTGGGGGAAATGTTGAAGAGGATGATGAAGAAAGAAGGGGGCAGTGGAGGAGAGAAGGCTTTTCTTGATGGGGTGGAGAAGCTCCGGCGGTACAGCGGCGCCGGCCAACATATATCGGAAAATGAGAGCCTGAAGCTCGAGTTCGTGCCTTTGAGCCACACTGAAATAACCCAACATCCCTGTAATCAAATCAAGGCAAAGACAACCAAATAACAGAGCAGTTAAATGGAGACAGAAGAAAGGTTTTGAAGAGGAAAGGAAAGAAAAAGAAAATGGCTCACTGGGTAATCTATGCGAAGAAGAAGAAGACGTTGAATCTGGAAATGCTGACAACATATTGGAAGCTTTGGAGTCGTTAATGGAACCAGGAACAAACAGTGGAAGAACAGAGGAGCAAGAAGACGGCTGTTGCTGCTGCTGCTGCTGCAGCCGATGAGGCTGTTCGACAAAAAACTTACAGATTTTAGCAGAATGTTGCGGCTCTTCCACCTCCTCCTCCTCCTCTGACTCCGCCTGCCTTCTACACTTCTTCAGATCAAAGTCCATTGACAGAGAAATACCAAAAAAACAGAGCTTTTGACAGAGAAATATCTATGCTTCTGTTGGGTTTTTAATATATGCTGCTGCCTTCATTTTCATTGGGTATTTTCAGGGGAGAAAAAAGCTTCTTTTCTTGGCAGTATTCAGGGAAAAAAAAAGGGTTGGGTTTCTGACAATGAAACCTGCAAAGTTTGTTTGAAGAGCAGTGGAGGAGGAGGAGGGTTAGGCAGCTGCTAGGGGCACTTAGAGTAAAAGGTGTTCAGACAAGACAGATGAGATAAAAGAGGCAGAAGAGGGTTTACCACTCCATTCTTTGCCGCCACGTAGAAATATCTCTTTAATAGATATAAGCCTGGACGAGAAGTTACAAAGAAAGAGTTCAAAGAGGATAATAATTGTTAGCGATGAGCTTCAGCTCTTACCGCACATTACCTTACCTCATTTTTTCATCATTGCCTTACCTATAATGTTAATTAGTTCATCTCGTGAATTAGGTTAAAAAATACGTGTTACTTTGAGGTGAACAAATCGAAGTCGATAAGCTGAGCGGATTGATGGGAATTTGGAACTAACCAAGTTGACTTAGAAGTTGATCGATCAAAGTGTCTAAAAAAGACATAAAACGTAGAACCTAATGAATTTTCGTGTTATATCTTAGAAGGAAAGCTTATTATTATTTTATAAATATATGTTTTAAGAGAGAAATGAAAAATGTACTTTAAAAAAAAAAAAATAGTAAATGAAAAGGGAGAGAAAATAAAAGCTGGAGACTGACCAAACCACTGGCCTTTCGGTCAACACAACCGGGCATAAAACACGTTTGTGTTCATTAATGAAGGAACCCATTGGACATCGGTCTGAACCGACCGGTGATTACCCTACTATCATTATTGTTGTCAAGAATATATTGGGTAAAAAAAGAATAAAATAAACATTTTTGTTTCAACTTTAAAGTTACGCAAATAGAAAATAAAAAATGCTACTAAATTAATTAAAAACATCTTCCGTATAAAAAAATATGTTTAATTTTCAAAAATTTCGATAATATCCTTAAATTAAAAAAAATTTAAAATTTTAAAAATATTATAATTATTAGTTTGGAGTGAAATCGTTAATATTTTATTTTAAAAAAATACTATCAGGTTTTAAAAAAATTTATTATTACGGATAAACTTTATTTAAATTAAAAAATACTCTTACGGTTAACAAATTTAAAAATTTCTCACAAGCTTTCAAAAATAATATTAACAAATTTGGAGATGATCCAAGTGTCGATGGATGATTTTTGTTCATATATTAACAGTAGTAACTTTTTTATAAAGGTAAAAGGTGTTATGTAACCGCATAAGCCCACCGATAGCCGATATTGTCTGCTTTGACCTATTACATATTGTCGTCAGCCTTAGAGATTTAAAGCGTATATGCTGATTTAGGGTTTAGGGATTTTAGGGTTTAGGATTTTGGGGTCTAGGGTTTTGGGGTTTAGGGTTTTGGGGTTAGGGTTTTGGGGTTTGGAGTTTTGGGGTTTAGGGAATGGTTTCCACGCCTTTATAAGGAATGTTTCATGTCCTTCCACTTAATTTGGGATATTATAGTAAAGAAAAAAAAAAAAAAAGGTGTTGGGATGACCAAATTGGTCTGAGGCGCTAGATTAAAGTTATGGTTCGGGTTTAAATCTCACTCTAAACAATCTTTGATGGGGTATGGTCGACAATATCTATCTTTTGACTCAATAATCAATAATTCATTTTTATCCACTTTTATCTTTATTGCGTTAATTATACGCACATCTACTTCATTTAAAATATATATTATTTTCAAAGAATCGAGATATTCTCTTCAACTTCGCAAATAAATAAAAAATTGTAATTTAAAAAAAAAAAAGGGCTTTTATTTTCGGCTACAAAACCCAATGAAAAAGAATAAAGATGTGGAGAGTAATACTCAGATTACATAAAACCCACATCTTTTTTATTAATAACAAAAATAATAATTAATTATAAATTTTCCATATTGCCTAATTTTATCCACAGTTTTGACCCAAAAAAAAAAAAAGAGTTGGGAGTTGGGAGGGGATTTTGGGAAATTGTAAGGGCATATTTGTAAACGTGAAAAGTAGCAAAAGCAAAGTAAGGCAGAAGTAGAAGCTTAAGAAGAAGGGGAAAGAAAGAAAGGAACCCCAGGTGAACCAACACACACACCTTGGGATCCATTTGCTGGGCCCCACCCTGCTCCTCCACGTCACCTAATTCGTCTCTATCCTCATTAATTCCAATAATATTTTATTAAAATCTTAATTTAATTACAAAGGGAGAGACAGGGAGCATACGACAATCTCAAATTCTGTCAGAAAAGTGCTCCCAAAAATTCAAAAAACCCTGTCAGCTCCTCACGTGCCTCCCTTCTCCCTTTCCCTTTATTTTCTATTTTCTATTTTCTATTTTCTTTTTACATTTTTTGTGTGAGACAAACCAACAAAATTAAAAACAAAGGAAGTGCACGCCGGCACGCTATGTATCACGTGCCTCCACGTGACTTCTTTTTTTTTTTTTTTTTTTTTCTGG